ATTTTTAAGAAATTTAAAGTTCGTTTGATTATTTTAATATTATTTTTAAACGAACGGGTGAAAGAAACTGCCGTCACGGGTTTGGAATTTTAAAAACCGCAAACACCTCGTGTCTTAGAAATTCCCGACCAAACTTTTATGTTTGGGTTGAAAAATCACCCAAAAACCATGAACTCATACCTATGTATGAGTTTACTCCCCAAAAAGTTAATCATTTGTGTTTACTCCCCAAATGTCAAAAGAGTAAACTCCAAAATATCCTCTCAAGTATCATCCAAGTTTTTATTAAAAATCTTCAATCTAGTAAGTGTTTCTAGCCCTTTCAAGTTAGTATATCACTTAATCTAGTGATTGTACATCCTTTAATCCATCCATTTTTGTGTTTTGATTAGTTTCCAAAAACACCAAGAACACACACTAAGTGTTCTTGGATTTAAAGTTCATTTCAAGCTTCCTCTATGTAAGTACTTCTATCCTAGAGTCATTTTAAGCTTGCTATACATGTTTATACCAAGGAAAAGTCCCAAGAACACCAAGAACAAGGTGTTCACGGTTTTGGGAGGCTCCCAAAACCGTAAACACCCAATATAGTGCCTTAGGGCCCCGGCCAGAAGCTTTCAAGACAGGAAAGATAAAATGGGCCAAATCGCCTGCTAGAGAAGAAGCTCTTAGGGAATCGATCTAGACTAGATGAGATGCCAGTGCCATTAAACTAGCTGCCAGAACGAGTTCAAGAGATGAGGATCCAGGTAGTGAAGTCACCCTCGGGGGAAGAATCATTCCATTCACTTGTGAAACTGCTAAGAAGAATAGCTTTTCTCTGAATCCACCACTCACTCTATTTCGGGTAGGTTTAACAAGAAAGTAAAAGCAATCTCCTCAACCTAGAAAGAGAACTCCAGGATCTTCTTTTTCTTCTTAAGAACCCGAAGGCGAACTAATCTGTCTTGGTGCAGCTCCTAGTCCTGATCGATTGGCTACCGGGTGTTCACTCAAACTAAAAAGAAAAAAATGGAATATAGAATCCGGATCCTCATCTCCTTCCCGCTTTAGTTTCACTCTTATCTCGGTTGCTAACCGGTGTGGGAGATGAAGCCAAGTCCTTTCCCTTCAAGGATCTAACTGCCACTCTTTCTAGTTTCATTCAACTGCCACTAACCCATATGCTTAAAACATCTCATTGGAGGTGGGATAGAGCTAATTCTGGGATCGAATGTCTCTCATTGTGGTCTTGATTTTAAGCTAGTACAATCAAGGATTCTGGTATGAATTTGGTAGTCATCTTGATCTCTTCTCTTGTCTGTTTTTTTTTTGAATAGGTCTTCTCCCTTCGATCCGCGAAGTAGGCAAGCAGGAATCTCTCCCCTTTCTGTTTATGGATAGAAAGAATATCTCCTTAGGAGAGTATTTTATGAGTTGACTGTAACCCGAAGGCTTCTTTCAATCGATCTAGTAGGTAAGAAATAAGATCTTCGTATAGTTAATGAATTAAAGCGAAACCACTAGGTTAGATCTCGTCTGTGATCCCTGGGCTTGTTAATTGAGAGAGAAACCCCTACTATCGATCGTGGCCTTCATTGAGTGCATTTTTTGCTCTTTGACATAGTAAGGCGGGAAGGCATGAGCAAGGCACTTACAAGGCCTTTCACAGCTCAAATCCATGCATTAAGCCGCTAATCCCTTTTATAGCAAAGTCCCAGCAGGCTACCTCATCGGGAAATCTAAATTCTTTCACCGAACCAGGGGGGGCACGATGAATACATTGATTATCTGGGTCCGATCGTCGCTAGAGGCCCGTCGACTATAATACACTGTTCGAAATTTCTTCGTTTCTGCCGAAACAAAACGGGATTGGCTATCTTAACCTTAGCAGTTTTGCGAGCAAACGTAGACGAATGCTTGCAAGACCAGCAAAGCCCTACTTATTAGGAGGGGACTCTTTGGCACCTTAGAGAAATTCCTTTACCTAGGGGATCAAGTGGTAGTTGATCAATGAACTAATATCTTTCGGTATAGGGCGAAGGTAAGGGCTTGGGCATGGCACGAGGGTTGTTAAGCTCACATCCGTTGTAAGACTTTGTAAGAAATGCTGGATTGTGCCCTCCGAGCAGAAGGTGTCCTCAGGGCTTAGTTGGGTTTGTTTGAGTCTAAATCCTGATTACGTCGAGTGGAGAGGCCTTAGTGTTCAACGCACCACGTCCATCCTTATGGAATCCATCTGGACAGCTTACCCTTAAACTTTTGCCAACCCCAGAGAAGAGAACTTCGAGGATACGCGGTAGACATGCTTTTCCCAAGAATCTTCAAACTTTTTGCTTATGTAATGGGGGAGGTACCAGCTGATGTCTTTGAAGACATTCAGAAGGACGTTCGAGATATGGAGGGGTGCTTTGGGTTTGATCTGAGATGGGTTCATGCCAGGCTGGGTGCAGTGGCCAAGGCAAGATTTGATACCCATCATCTCGAGGAGTACGCCCAGACTTCAGCAGCGCTCGAGAAAGCTACAAGTGCATTGGCTCAACTTGAAGGAGAGTTGTCTCGGCGTAGTGAAACTGCTTCTGCCCATTTGGTGAACAACTCTGTTGCTACTAAAATGAAACATTTTCCCCTCGAGGGAGTGGTTATTTTCCCGATGAAATCGAGGGCACAAGTTTTAAATGGGTAGGGAGTTCCACGGCTGGAGCATGTATGAGGTTGCCATGTAGTTGACAAACCTTGCACCTCTTAACAAATGTTGCTGAATCTATCTCCATAGTTGGCCAATAGTACCCCAGGGTCATCAGGTGATCATATATCTTTGCGCCGCCAATATGTCCTGGGGCGTGGGCTTCCTCGAGAACCTGCTGCACATCCGGATGGAGAGGATGGCCATTATAGCCCTTCCTGTAAAGTTCTCCTTGCTTAGCAAAGAAGCGAAATGCCCTTTTCTTTATTCCAACTACATCTTTTGTTTCAGAGGGGAGGATTTTTTGATCCAGAAAAGAAATACAATCAATATAGGGCTTTCTCCAGTCTTCATAATATAATGCTCTAAGGCACATTCTGCTGGACATGGGTAGAATTGACATTGGAGGCAAGTTTTCTTCAATTTGTTGGCTTCCTCCAATACTGCAGCTGAGAGTTCTGCTCTGATGGAGGTGCATATTCATATTCTCCACTCGGGAAACGGGCAAGCAAATCAACTAAGGCTTTACTTTTCATTGCGTTGGGAGTTACACATTTCATGTCATAGCCTGCTAGAGTGAGGAACCGCCGAGCAGCTCTCCCTATGAGTATAGTATAGCTCGAGACATTAAGTGTTTGATTGGGTCACATCTTGTCACAATATGAACTGTGAAGGACATGAAGTAGTGACGCAACTTCTGAGTAACAAAGACTAATGTGAGGCAGTGCCCTTCCACAACTGAGTACCTTGTCCCCGGACCTGTGATCACTCGGCTCAAGTAGTATACTGGGCATTCCTTCCTATCGCAATGCCCCACGAGAAGTAGAAGTGAGATAAAGCTGCAAGGGATTGGCTGAATATTGATCCAGTTTAGGCAGCTTTCAGTCTCTATAAACTTGATGGAATATCTCTTACACAAGGAAAAAGACTTGCATCAATCAATGGCATGAAGGAGTTGAATCAGGAACATAATTTCAAAGCCAAAGCAAAGGCATTCATTTAGCAGGAGTTTACGCTGCAAAGACGATTCGTGCTAGCTCTTCTCTTCTTTAACTAGTTAGATGAATAGCCTATTGGGCTAGTTTACTAAGCTTTCAGTCTACATAAACTTCATTCAATATTGATTACACTCCTTCTCCTACTGCTTCTCCTTATACCCACTAATGTTCTTCTTCGTCCTACCTTGACTATTGGGAAATTTCCATTCGAGAAAGAGATGTACGAATAAAGGAGCGAAGCTGACTCGACCAGACGGTAGAGGTTGTTTAAGAATCGAGATAGGCACTGTGAAAGAAAGAACTTCGCTAGCTTACCCCACGTAGCAGTCCTAGTAAATACATGTGCTTTATAGAATACGGCCTTTTAGGATATGATTACAATGCTTCAGTTGTCATTGATCAAGAAGGAAATCAAAAAGGAAGTCGATTTTTTGGTGCGATTTCCGGGGAATTGAGACAGTTTAATTTGACTAATAGACTTTCATTAGCTCCTTAGGTATTATAAGATGAGACCATGAATCGAACCAGATCGAAACATTCAGCTGTCGACGGACACACTTTGCCGGAACGTCGACCGCAAACGAAGGATAGCCAGGCCCCGATTCCCAGGGTTAGGGTATTCCCTATTATGTTATGAGCCTACTCAGATCAGAACTAGTTTCTTCTCTTTCGCCTATCGGCCGGCAGGCTTTAAGCAACCTTCGCATTTCCTGCTGAGATCCCAAGTCTCCAAGTAGGCCCTCTTGGCCACCCACAACCTTGGCTTTTTAGAGAATCCCGCTCCTGTCTCGTAGGACTTGTAGCTCGGCAGTCCACCGGGTGGGTTTGTTTATCCTTCCAGTTTCGAGTGTATTCTTGGATAGTTATAGCGGCCCATAGGCGCGAGATGTACCTTGTGGGGGGGGGGCGGCGGTCCCATGGACATAGTCCTTTCAGGCAGTGGCCGTTTAGTCCATGGTCCATTGGATGGTCGGTGCAAGGCCAGAAATTGGAACACATTGATTCCACTCGTTCCCGTCCTTCGCTTCAGGGCCTGTCCCTCGGTGTGGTCAGTACTCCATACTGTTGGGCAGCGAAGCTTACACTTGTTCACTAATTATGAAGGTTCGCCAGGGCCTCTTTCCTCCTCCCTTTTCTCCTCACTCGTAGGGGTCCGGACCCCACAAAGGGGGAGGGAGTCGACTGAACATCTCAGCCATTGGTGGGAATTTCGCCCGCATCCGATCCCCAATTCTTGTTCACCCCGGATGATCGTGTTGGGTGAATTGTGACCTCGTACAATCGTGTCGGGTGAGCAACAGTCGCTTCGTCACAGTACTTACTTATGGGCTAACAGG